GGTGGGGTGCTGCACCTGCTGGAAATCGGGTCCAGCATCCCTATACAAGATATGATGTGTATCAGCTGGAAATGGGGTCCAGCGTCCCTATTCAGTGATAGGAGGAAATATCATTGTGATGTGTATGAGCTGGAATTCGGGACCAGCCTCCCTATTATGTGTTCACACCTACATCTCAGAAAAGAGCCGAGTCATTGATCACTTCCCTGCGACGGCCTGCGTAAGTAATGCTTTGATATGCCCAAGCCCCCTTTCCCTCTTTTCACGTTACATGTTTCCACGCCACCTTCGAGATGAATTGTTGCTATAAGGGTTTGGTTGTCCATAGGTAGGCCGCCACTCTTCTCCTCGACGCTGTTTGCTGCCTCTGTGCTGTCGGGCTCCATACCGTTCCTGCGAACTATAGCATTAAGAACATCGAGGTGTTTAATACTAATGCTCTGCCATATAACGAAGTGTAGATTGTCGACCAAGATCCCATTTTGGCTAGCGTTTTGGAGAGCATTTGGGTTGCCATTGAGTAGTGGGGGGCTGTTTTTGGACACCTTGATCCCCTGATACCTTAGCAATTCTGTCGGGTTCAGCCAGTGCATCTCTTCAGTGCCCGAGGGGGTACCTGGCCCATAGAATTGAGAAAATTAGGCGTTTAATACTAACGCTCTGCCATACAACGAAGTGTAGATTGTCGACCAAGATCCCAGTTTGGCTAGCGTTTTGGAGAGTATTTTGGGTGCCATCGAGTGGTGTGGGCCTGTTTCGGACACCGTGATCCCCAGGTACCTTAGCGGTTCTGCCAGGTTCAGCCACTGCATGCCTTCAGTGCTCGAGGGGGTACCTGGGCCTTCTTCCTCTCAGTCGGTCCACCTCCAACCCACCATCTCCGGCCAGTTAATCTCCATCGTTGAGGCCAGTTGGAAAGCATGCATTGCTCTGCTCAGGGCTTCAAATGATGAGTCTGATGCTCTGATCAGCACTGTCAGGTCGCCCGCGAAGAGTATTGTCGTCGGGATGTGTGTTAGCCTTCCTTGCTGGTCAGGTTCTATGATCAGCCTTTGAATCGGCGGGTCCTTCATGATGCTATTGCTTCCCGTATAATTAAGAAGATCGGGGCCGCCATTGGGTCTCCTTGCCTTACTGACCTCGGCATTTTGTACTCCCCTGACAGGTGCCCGTCACCCACTTGCCCCATGCCCTCCAGCCTTTGGGCCGGCATGCTTGGTTGCCTCCCTGGGTTTCTTCACTCTTCCCCTGCCCTTGTGCTATTTGCCTTGCTATCTTTTGGATCACTGTCTTTTCCTCTGCTTTGTGCTGTTTGTTTGCCCACCTGCCTTCCCCCATGTCCTCCCGCCTATGTGTCTTGCTGCTGCTTGACGTTCAATGTCAAATTGCCGCCCTGTCGTTTCTGTCACTTGCTCCCCCCTGCCCTTGTTCTTTTTGCCTTGCTGCCTTTGCCTTGTGCTGTTTGTCCGCCCACAAGCGTCCCCCTTGCCCTCCAGCCTATGTGCCTTGATGCTGATTGTTGTCCAACAAGTTGTTGCCTCCTTTACTTGTTTTCGCCTTACGCCCGCTTCTTACTTTCTGTTACTGTTCGTTATGGCTGCATACGTCTGGGGAATGTGGGGAATAGTCCTGCCAGTGTATCTCAATATCTAATAGCATGTACTTCTTACGTAGCGTAAGGGAGTCACTGTGTCGTTACTCTCGGAAGCGGGGCACCGTGTAGTACGTCATCAAATACCACTTGGTGTGTCATCAAGTTGCTTCCATCGCCATTTCCCACGAGAAAGAACGTAAGTCCAGATGCATGCATTAGCCTATGGTTTGAACGGTTACACACACACACACACACACACACACACACACACACACACACACACACATATCACACACACACACAAACAATTGCAGGGTTGAGGGGAGTAAAGCTCACCACTTCACTAACATTCAGCAAGGTGCTCAGTCCTTATCCATCAGTGAAATGCATTCTGGGCGGACTGTGAAGGTTCAACCTCCTAATGAGTCAGCGAAAGTCCGGCAAAGCAGTCTGTCACAGTCACCTTATTTGTGGAGTTGCACTTAGTGATTTACAGCACGAACACGCACAGAAAAGAAGGAAGTGGATATACCCAGGAGATCTATGCGCAAGAACCATGGGTGCAACATACACAAGTTTAATTCTTTGGGTGTAAGCTGTCTGTACTTTGCAGTAATCCCCAGATGACAGTCACACTTTTCAAAGACCATAGTAGTGCGATAGCTTTGTTGTTGACATGATTGTCTGCCTTCAGTGCGAGGGGAAAAGAAAGAAGGAGAGAAAGGGTCCATAATAATCCTTTAATTGGGATCAGAAAATTGTACCCATGTTTTTTGTTTCTTTTTCCCTTGTTATTTGATGATGATTTAAGTTGGCTCATGCAAGTGATTTGTTTCATATGCTTTCTCCCCATGTCACACAGGCTGCAATGGGCGAACTTCACAATCCGTAAGTCTCACGCCAATCCCTTTTCTTTGGGCCAGCTGGTAGTTGCACTACCTGTCCAAATTCTTTACCTTCCCCTAGGCTTGGCCTTAAAGCCAAGCATCTTCTTCATACTGGGGAGCAGTATCCTGGTTCCTCACCCCTGATGGCGATACAACTGTCTTGAAGTTCACATTTTACCACGAAAGTCACGCAGCAACTTGCTACCCGAAATCATGGAACCAATGAACGGAAATAAGCCAGAAAAGGACGCAGAAGATTATCATGCCAAAATAACCACAACTCACTCTCTCTCTCTCTCTCTCTCTCTCTCTCTCTCTCTCTCTCTCTCTCTCTCTCTCTCTCTCTCTCTCTCTCTCTCTCCCCTCCCCCCCGCCCCCACCCCTTTCCCCCTACTCCCACATAGAATTGTTAGGTCCACATCCTCATTCAAATATGAAATAAATGTTTCTTCCCCGAAAAACGAGAGGAAAGGATGGGGTTGGATTTCTCTGACCACGAGCTCCTTTGTTCTTATCTTTGCAAGAGGGAGGAACTCCTGAGGAGGAAGAGAGAAAATGGAGGGCGGCCAAGAGTGTGAATGGAATGGAGAGGGGAAGTGGCAGGGACATGACGGCAGAAGGGAAGGATGTTGAATGGAGAGAGAGAGAGAGAGAGAGAGAGAGAGAGAGAGAGAGAGAGAGAGAGAGAGAGAGAGAGAGAGAGAGAGAGAGAGAGAGAGNAGAGAGAGAGAAATGGCTTCAATTACTTCTCATGAGCTTCGCGCCTACTTCTGATCATCAATGTGGAGAGAGAGAGAGAGAGAGAGAGAGAGAGAGAGAGAGAGAGAGAGAGAGAGAGAGAGTGAGAGAGAGAGAGATTTCGTAGATTCCTAGATGAGGTTGGGTCTGACCTGCTGTGCATCCTTTTCCTGGTAGGGGGTGCACAAAGCCACACACCGGTTTGCTATTTCCTGGGAGATGTGATTCTGTATCACACGGTCAAGAGATTTGTGTTTCAATGCACGTGTGTTGCAAAGTAAAAGGCACACCCGATCGATCAGTACATTACATCATTTGCAGTCGCATATGACTTGCTAACTAGAACGGCCTTAGCTCACAATTCATGTGCTTATCTGCTCTGCTATTCTTGGTTTCTTAACAGATGGGCTGTGGCCAGAGCGCTTTGATGAAACCTGGCCTTCATGCTGCCATGTTGATAAATATCCTTTTGAGCCTGAGAAGGTATTTAATACGCACTGCATTTACTTTTCTTAGTGTTTTATTTTGGGAAACAGAATTCCTTTCATTATAGTACTTGAAAACGAGCTTAGTACATACTGTGTAAGAGACATAATTGAGTATCATATAACATGGTGGGCTGTGTACTGTATACTTTCCATTGTTGCTGCTGAGCCTGGGCCAAGGCAAAGCTGGTGGATCCCCCCCCCAAAAAAAAAGAGAGGCTAAGCTTGTTAGATACACAGGGGCATGTGGGGACAATGGGGGTATTTGTGAACCATGCCTCCTTGCCACAGAGCGGAAGTGGGCCATTATGCCACACAAGGATGTCAGCAGCTCACGCGCAGATACATCAATGTGGCTATTTGTGAACTATGCCTCCTTGTCATGCCACAGAGTGGAAGTGGGCCATTATGCCACACAAGGATGTCAGCAGCTCATGCGCAGATACATCAATGTGGCCAGCCTTGTACATGAGAAGAGGTATCTTAATGAAATAAAATGGACACCCAAAAGAAAGCCAAAGTAGGAAAGAAACGAAAGAACATCATGAAATAAAATGGACACCCAAAAGAAAGCCAAAGTAGGGAAGAAACGAAAGAACATCACAGGGAAAAGCAAAGGAACCATTTCAGTGCGCTTCATGTTGTCCGCTATTTTCTTCATTAGTTTAGCAAAATCCGCTCTTTTGCATGGATAACTTTATACATACGTTACAATATATATATAATATACGTGTCACAGCCCGGGCCCTCGTTTGTTGTCCTTTTCTCCCTCTCTGCCGACAGTTTACCGGGCAGTTCTTTTTGATGATACTACAGTCAGTGAAACTCCGACGAAACAGTTTGTCACAGCCCCTCGTTTGTTGTCCTCTTTTCCCTCTCTGCCTACGGTTTACCAGGCAGCTCTGTTTGACGATATAAGCGGCAGTGGTCGGGGCCGTTACTAGGTGGCCATGCTGTGCCTCTAGTGCCAGCGGCGTGTCTGGAGTGTATTTTTTGGCTGTGACAGACCTTTCTTTGTTTCGTGGATGTTTTGCTGGCTTGTGATGGGGTGTGAACCGACAGTCTGTAGAGTTTTCCATCTGGTGTG